CACGGTACTGTGAGTTCCAAAAAAAACCTGTTCCAGATGGACGATCATCATTGCCAGTCCCTTGAAAATGTGATCGGAGAAAAAATCCACATCAGCGAGCGCCTTCCAAACAGTAACACCCAGCGCGGTATCCAGAATTTGCCGCAACATCCTGCAACACACAGGCTATGCATAGGCGGGTCCACGACGGGCTCCTGGGAGAGAAAGGAGACGACTGGGAATGGGGAGGAGAGTCCATTCCCACCCTGGAACTATGCAAAAACCAGGAATAGAGTGGTAACAGACACTGCTACTTATCATTACTTTGGTTCAGAGCTACTTTAAGCTTTAGTTTACTCTAGATTTTAACACCTCTATATTTTTACAATTTCACAAGAAGTTTTTGACCTACATATTTTACACTGGCACTCATCGTACTGAGGTTTTCATTACCAATTCTCGTCTACCACAACGCAGACATTCCTATTTGCAATGATCACCTCTTGGTTGGGCCTCCATGGCCTTTTTTACCCTTGTTATTTCAGTTTTAGCTTTAGACCCGGGCTTCTGCAGCAATGCTTCCTCCCCGCCCTCTTTCTGGATTGGCCTCTGCTCTCGTGCTGCCGGATAGATTTTTCCCAGGAAAAAAAAGCCACTTACCGCAAAGGTCCTTCCCATTTGTGCTGCATCCTGGATACCACTGCGGAATGCTTCGCAACCGAGAAAATCAACAAATTGAGCTGCTCGTATAGCGGCCAAAACATTGTACAGGCCACCGCATTGGCTGTCATTTCAGAATTATCGTTTGAGAATTTCCAGGATATTCCAGGAGCAGGCGGCCTCGTACTGGACAGAACATGCACAGCAACACAGCAGCAGCAATCCAGGACCCCTACATCCTGGGTGTTTGCCTCCCGACTGCACCTCCTGAAAATCACATCATCAACTCGAGGCCGAACAGAGCATTTACTGCCCGGACAATCGAGCCGCCGGCTACAAATTGACCGGACACAAACTTTTGTTGGCAAAGAGGGCGAGCTGAAATCCTATCCTCCCCCCCC